TTAGCTTTTAATCCTGGTTGTTGATCTCTCAAGATCAACGGCCCTCGCCTACCCTACCCCTTTTGATTACCCAAAACCACGAACCTTACCCATTCTCTCTAAGACCGTCGCCCCTAAATCCTCTCGCCCTCTCGACTTCTCTCTGAGAAAAACCCTAGCCACCTCCTTCAAATCCCAACCCTAATCCAATATTACATGGAAAATCATTCATGTTTCCTTTCCTTTTTTACACACAAGGATATTCTTACCATCTCCTCGATGTCACAGTGTTTGGTACTCAGTTATTTACAACAACAACATACCGAGTATAATACCACAAGTGGGGTCTGGGGAGGGTTGTGTGTACACAGATCTTACCCCTACCTGGAGAGGTAGAGAGGTTGTTTTCGATAGACCCTCAGCTCAAGAAAAGGCGGAAAGGAAGAATAGGGGAGAAGAAGAAGAATAAGAAAGAAGAGGGAGAAAGAAAGAAGAGGGAGAAAAAAGACGATAAGGAAAAAGAGGAGAAAAAGTAGCATCAAATAGTAACCATCAGGGAGCAACAATATCCAGTAAAAGGGGCGAAAAAGTAGCATCAAATAGCAACAATCAGAGAGCAACAATCCCAGTAGCAATTTACAAAAACAAAGGACGTGGATGCAAAGTACCAGATACAATAACAAACTAGAAGGAAGTAACTTTCAACCCACAGCACAGATGTTACTAGTACTACTGGTGAACCTATGAAAAACTCACAACTATCTGTCAACCCACCACCTTAATCCTCGACCTCCACACCTTCCTATCGCTAGTCACGTCCTCGGTTAGGTGAAGCACCGACATGTCCTGCCTAATCACCTCTCCCCAATACTTCTTAGGCCTACCCCTGCCCTTCCTCAAGCCCAACATGGTCAACCTCTCACACCTCCTGACCGGGGCATCTATATCTCTCCTCTTCACATGCCCAAACCATCACAGCCTCGATTCCCGTAACTTGGCTTCCACGGATGCCACTCCCACCTTGTCCCCAATAACTTCATTCCTGATCTTGTCTTTCCTGGTATGACCACATATCCATCTTGTTAATTTGGTAGTTAAATAGTATTAAATAACTTTAATCCCATATGCATTAGGAGTAGGACATGTATTATATATAGAGAGAGAGAGCTCATTGTATCATTGTTAAGACATGTGAATAATATCATATTTTTCTCCCGTGCATTCTCACATGGTATCAGAGCAGCAGTGAGAAAACATCCGGGAAAGAAAACCTAGCCAAAAAAAAGTCGTCGTGCTTCAATTCCGGCAACCTTTTTAGGGCTGTTTTTCGTCAAACCAATTTACATCGGTGTTGTGCAAAAACCAACACCACCACAAGGTCCCCCAACCCCCGGCGACCAAACCCCAACAAACACCTCCGCCGGCAGACACCTCACGCGCCGCCACGCGCCGATCAGAGAAATTATTTTCCGGCGAGATCTACTCCACGCGCCGAAGCGTGGAGCACTTTCCGGGCACTTTTTGACGAAATTCCTTCAGAGCAGTTGGATCGCCCTCAAATTCCGAGCCTACCCATAATTTTATTTTTTAATTCCGACCACTTTGAGTTTTTCTGGCGACTATACTGACTTTTTCCGGCAGATACAGTAATTTCCGGCTGAAACAGTGTCTCCTTCGTCTGTTTCAGCGAGTTTTCAATTGATTCTTTCTGTTATTTGGTGATAATTTTATAGACCTCTCTTCAATCCAACGATGTCTTTGGGAGTTGATGCTTTCGGGTTTAAAACACCAGGTTCTGGCAGTTCCGGTGTTATGATTACCTCCGAACCTTTAATGGGAAGTTCAAACTACTTAGCTTGAGCTTCGTCTGTCAAGCTGTGGTGTAAAGGTCAAGGTGTTCAAGATCATTTAATCAAGAAGTCTAGCGAAGGAGATGATAAGGCCAAAGCACATTGGGAGAAGATCGATGCTCAATTATGCAGTATTCTGTGGCGATCTATTGATTCCAAGTTGATGCCCTTGTTTCGTCCATTCCAGACATGTTATTTGGTTTGGGAAAAGGCTCGCACTTTATACACTAATGACATATCTCGTTTCTATGATGTGATATCGCGGATGACAAATTTAAAGAAACATGAATTAGATATGTCTACTTACTTGGGATAAGTACAGGCAGTCATGGAGGAATTTGAGAAGTTGATGCCAGTTTCTGCTAGTGTTGAAAGGCAACAAGAGCAGCGACAAAAGATGTTTCTAGTTCTTACTCTTGCTGGACTTCCTAATGATCTTGACTCAGTACGTGATCAGATTTTGGCTAGTCCGACTGTTTCCACAGTTGATGAATTATTCTCTCGATTACTTCGCTTGCTGCAGCACCAAGTCACCCAGTGAGCTCATCACAGACACTTGACTCATCTGTTCTCGTATCCCAGTCAGTGGACAATCGGGCATCTCAAACTATGGAGAATAGACGAGGAGGAGGTCGTTTTGGAAGATCTAGACCCAAGTGCTCTTATTGTCATAAACTTGGACACACTCGTGACGTGTGCTATTCTTTACATGGTCGTCCACCCAAAAATGCTTATGTTGCTCAGACCGAGACTACAGGTAACCAGGGATTTCTTTATCTGAAGGGGAATATAATAAGTTCCTTTCAATATCGAGCAAGTAAGCAGACATCTCCACAAGTAGCCTCTGTTGCTCAGACTTATACTTCTGTTGCTAGTAATTCTTTTGCTTGTGTTTCCCAGTCTAGTACTCTTGGGCAATGGGTTGTGGACTCAGCCGCTTGGCCTTTATGTCGCCTGCGCCGGTCACTTTATGGTCTAAAGCAGTCTCCTCGAGCCTGGTTTGGTAAGTTCAGCACAGTTAATCCAGGAGTTTGGCATGACTCGGAGTGAAGCTGATCACTCTGTGTTTTATCGCACTCTGCTTCGATCTCTGTATTTATCTGGTGGTCTATGTGGATGATATTGTTATTACCGGCAATGATCAGGGATGGTATTACTAAATTGAAGCAGCATCTTCTCTCACAACTTTCATACTAAGGACCTGGGCAAACTAAAGATATTTTCTGGGTATTGAGGTCGCTCAGTCTAGCTCAGTACTGTGATATCACAACGGAAGTATGCCTTAGACATCTTGAGGAGACAGTGAATGACAGGTTGTAGACTGATTACACTCCGATGGATCCGAATTCTAAACTTCTGCCAGGACAGGGGAGTCGCTTACGATCCTGCAAGATATAGGCGGCTGGTTGGTAAATTAAATTATCTCACGGTGACTAGACCTGACATTTCCTTTCCTGTGAGTGTTGTAAGTCAGTTTATGGATTCTCCCTGTGATAGCCACTAGGATGCAAGTTCGGTCCGCCAATTCTTCGGTATATAAAATCGGCTCCAGACAAAGGGTTATTGTTTGAGGATCGAGGTCATGAGCAGATCGTTGGTTACTCAGATGCTGATTGGGCAGGATCACCTTCTGATAGACCTTCTACGTCTGGATATTGTGTTTTAGCAGGAGGCAATTTGGTGTCTTGGAAGAGTAAGAAACAAAATGTAGTTGCTCGATCTAGTGCAGAAGCAGAATATCGAGCAATGGCTATGGCAACATGTGAGCTAATTTGGATCAAACAATTGCTCAAGGAGTTGAAATTTGGTGACATCAGCCAGATGGAACTTGTGTGCGATAATCAAGCTGCCCTTCATATTGTATCAAATCCGGTGTTCCATGAGAGGACTAAACACATTGAGATTGATTGTCACTTCATCAGAGAAAAGATACTCTCAGGAGATATTGCTACAAAATTTGTGAAGTCGAATGATTAGCTTGCTGATATTTTCACCAAGTCCCTCACCGGTCCTCGTATTAGTTATATATGTAACAAGCTCGGTACATATGATTTATATGCACCAGCTTGAGGGGAATGTTAGTTTGGTAGTTAAATAGTATTAAATAACTTTAATCCCATATGTATTAGGAGTAGGACATGTATTATATATAGAGAGAGAGAGCTCATTGTATCATTGTTAAGACATGTGAATAATATCATATTTTTCTCCCGTGCATTCTCACACATCTCAACATCCTCATTTCTGCTACGCTCATTTTTTGGACATGGGACATCTTAACGGGCCAACACTCAGCTCTATACAACATAGCTGGTCTAACGACCACCCTATAGAATTTGCCCTTAAGTCTAGGTGGTACATTCTTATCACATAAAACCCCTGAAGCTAGCCTCCATCTCATCCAACCCGCTCCAATGCGGTGAGTAACATCCTCGTCAATTTCCCCGTTGCCTTAGATTATAGACCCAAGATACTTGAAACTATCTCTTGTGGGAATGACTTGAGTATCAATCTTTACTTCCACTTCTTCTTCTTCATGTCTCTCCTCACTGAACTTGCACTCCAAGTATTCAGTTTTCGGCCTACTCAACTTGAAACCTTTGGATTCAAGTGTCTGTTCCAAACTTCCAACCTAGCATTAACACCCCATCGTGTCTCGTCAATCAGTAATATGTCATCAGCAAATAACACGTACCATGGCACCATCCCTTGTATGCGACGTGTCAGGACATCCAACACTAGGGCAAACAAAAACGGGCTAAGGGTTGATCCCTGATGCAACCCTATCTCCACAGGGAAATGTTCCGAGTCTCCTCCCGCAGTCCTCACCCGAGTCTTAGCGCCTTCGTACATGTCCTTAATCACCATAATGTGCGCTACCGGGACTCTGCTAACCTCTAAACACCTCCATAGCACCTCTCTCGGGACTTTGTCATAAGCCTTCTCAAGGTCAATGAACACCATATGCAAGTCCTTTTTCCTCTCCCTATACTGCTCCACCAATCGTTTCACAAGGTGAATGGCTTCTGTGGTTGACTGTCCCGGCATAAATCCGAATTGGTTCTCAGATTTATGCCGCGACAGTCAACCACAGAAGCAATTCACCATACCATTTCATGCCAGACATAAATCCAGAACATCTCAGCAGAGTTTATAAAGAAGCTTAGTTCCATGAAAATTCAGAAAGGCATTTCACTTAACTTCTTTTTAGTCAATATTGCAGCTGTGTTATCTGAAAGGACATCTCAATTAACTTTTCCTGTGATGAAGACATGATGAATACAGTAACTATATGATACAAGTTGAGCAACCAATGACGTTGGGTTTCAAGTAACAAAAGGAAAAAGTAGGAAGAGCCATAGTTTTGCTCCTGGGTAGACTTTTTCTTTGTTTTTTGTGTTTAGTTATTATTATTTTTAATCTCTTTTTTTGCGACCATATAAAGAATGATACAAAGTTAAGCAACCAAGTGATGGTTTGCCTTAGCTCCATCCCGGTCTGTGTACGTCCCTCCAAGTCATTTCGAATACTCTCAATCTCCTCAAGAGTGTGTCCCTCAAGAACACTAAGGGTGCCTTCCACCTTCCTCAAGCGTTGGCCAAAAGATCTCCACAGCATCCATCCTCGCGTTCACCTTCATCACCCACTCTTTACCGAGCGAGACGTCCTCTGGCAGGATCTCCACTTCATCCTCGCTCGCCTCAGTGGCAGATGGTTCTTGGGATGTAAGAACTTCATTTGACACAACCTCGGGCGGCACCTCCTGGCTCTTGTTGGTGACATTCCTCCTTTTGTTACGGCCCTTTTTGCCAGCAGTATCCTGCATGACGTTGGCTTAGGTGTTGGCAGCGTTAATTTCTCCGTCGTTCGCCATTCCCTTGGTTGCAACCTTTGCTTTGATACCACATTGTCACGTCCTTGTCGTTAACTAAGTACACGTGCGGCACTTGACAACTCGCTCACGATCTTGCACAACTTGCTCACATTCTTGCTATGCCAAGTCAGCCTTACTACATTTAAGATCTCTAAAAGAATGGTAGAAACACATGAGAATTGACAAAGGAAGCTTTTGTATTAGAGAAAGAGCTTGATTGTTTTGCTTGATGAATTACAAATGAATGACCCCCTTTATATACTAGTCTCCTAGGGGCTAGTGTGTAAACATAAATTGTTACACAAGTCCTTAATATTTATAAGTAAGCCCTTTCTCTAGAATTTTCCACATATCTAGAACCTTCTAAGGACTTTCCTAGCAATTCCATAGGGTTCTAAGGTCTTCCATGAGAAATCTCCATATTTCTCTAGAACCTTCCCACATGTGCTAGTCTATTTCATATGTAAGCTTTCCATATGGCAAAATATATTCCAAGTGGCACCTACATGGCATGATGATGTGGCGGGCCATGACAATTGTCTCTAATTCATTTCATTCTATGCTACTTTTTCCAGCATATTTTTTTTTTGATTTGCACCGGGTGTCCGAGTCTCTAAGAGCCCCGACTAATCCCAGAGGTGCACCGGCCCTCGGCAAGGAGTTTCCCGCAAGTGCACCACGGTTAATTCAGGTTTCACCCAGTCCGGTGGCCCTCAGAAATTGTTTGCACCCCGTGGGTTTCGAACTTGAGACCTTGAAAGGGAGCAAACCCCAAGGCTCAAGTATTTAATAACCTCTTTTTTTCTTTTTCACTTTTTACTTATATTACTATGGTGCAAAACCCTTGATAGCTTAATGCATATTGATTTACGGATATTATTCAAAATTTTATAATAAGGGGGTATATTCCTTAATATGGGTTTGATTGAACCTTCCATAAAGTAAAAGGTAGCAAATTAAGTTTTTTGTTTCTTAGACAACACCAAATCCAAACCATTTCTGGAAAAAGATAGTCATCCAAGCACGAACCTTTTTTCAAATAACTTGTTTTTTTTTTTGAAAATATTTTCTAAACTTTTCTTCAACAAACATCTCAAAAGATCATCCAAACGCCAGAATTGAAAACCATGACTAGAACAAACGTATTGAACGCGTTAACATAAGAATTGAAGCAATACCTAGGTGGGGGTTTCATCCCAACTGCTTTCCATTCAAGCATTGCTTGATGTAGGAATTTCCACGTTGAAAAGAATATACCACCAAACACACAATCCCGAGCAAGTCCAGATCTCATACCTCTCCAGAGAGCACCCCATCCTTCCAAAGATATGATGTCTAATGGCCTCTTAACATCAGAGATAGATGGGGGTCTCCCAGACCCTGTCATCATCCATGGATAATCTTTTAAGGCAGCGACCAAATTGGGATGTTTGGTGGGAAGAGTAGTCAAAAGACCAACTGTGTTGTTTAATCCCCTAATATCCGGGGAATATCCTGGTAGTAACTTTGACATTAAAGGCGAAACAGCAGTCTTTTCAACAACTGACATGGAACTGCGAATTCGGGAAGCAGAAGTAACCTGAGCACGGAGTTTAACAAGTTCAAATGGAGAACTTATTAGTGATTCCACTGCTCCAGAAGCAATTCCGGCCAACAGAGCCTCAGAGATATGGACATAATTGTCTTCTCGACCATCTGATTAAGAAGGGTGTGCAGATGAAACACAATATATTAGCACCCAAACCTCTAATAATGGGAAAAAAAGCAAATTATATTAAAAATATTCAATTCATTTATATAATATCGTAGTGCATCGTTCCAACATTCCCTTCTTTTCCGCTGCTATTATTAGTTCCATTGAATAGACATACTTCCCCCGTCCGAATTGAGCTTGTTCAGTTATCGATGGACAGTAGACCAACTTTTTGTTCAATTTGGAACATTATTATCAACCCTTTTTATTATAACATCTATAGAGGGGAACTGTGTGAATATACTAGTGATAGAAAAAATATCTAAAATTTACAGTTATAATCACATAGTTGAGAAAATAATGGTTAAAGAAATCTTATTTTAATTCAAAAGTGATGGTGTTGTCTTATTCCTCTTTGTTGAGATAGAGAAACTACTGAAAACGGTTCTAGATATTGTCTAAAAAGACCTGAGGTCAGAAATTTGTTAAAACCATTTGTTTTGGAATATGGTAAAGTTGCTCCTAGGCGGGGAATTATTCCTTTGATGGATGTTGCAATGGCCTTTCTTAAGGTACTTCTATCTATTATTTTCGATGATTCTTTCCTATACATTCTAGAACTTCCATTTACAGGGCAAGTATCTAAACCAACAGAATCATGCAAAAATCCTCATAGATTTTCTGGTCAGAAGACTGGCAGAAAAGTTGTAAATAAGTTAAGCAACAGAAGAATATCGTACCTTTGTAGAATGCTGTCAATATTTCATAAACACCAAAGCGGGCTCCCAAACCCAATGATCTTCCAAGTGTCAACCACCCCACACCACTATACAAGCCTTCAATGTTCATAAAAGATTTAAGAAAAATATAAGCAAGATGTCCATATAAACAGAGCTGTCACTACGGATAAGCATCACCTATAGTTACCACAAGACAAAACTAGTTGATTGAGTCACCTGAAGTCCCTGACAAAGTTTTAATCCTATTAAGGACGTCAGCAGCAGTGAGTTGTTTACTGACACCTGAACCCACCTGCATTTCATTCCACCAGAACATAGAACCAAATTACAAGGAGTCATTCAAAATGCTGCTCTCACTGAAAGATAATAAATTCAAGTGAATGCTCAGGGTTATCATCAATTTCCACACCTGTACAAGGACCTTCAGGCTATCGAGAGGGTAAGTGATAACCGTGGCTAATGTAGCAGATCCTGCAGCAACAACTGCATGGGTAGCAAATATTGGATTCTTCAAAAGTTCGTTCATTTGATAGATTAACTTGGATGACTGTGTGTTACAAGTGCTCCTCTCCTCGAGTCACAATCAATATATTCAGAGATTCAAAATTCCCTGCAGTTCCCATTAGAGTGACACCAACAGTTAGTACTGCATATGCTTTATCCAATAGGTCCTACCACATACTCGTTACAAGTCCATCTTCCTCATTTCATAAAACACATCTTGGTATTTCATCCCTAAAACAACTTGCAAATTATTTATCTTAACTATCGAGAACCATATAAAAGCATATATTGATTTCTGAATTTAGATATTCAGAGTCTTATTGTCACGAACCAGCTAGGAGTTGTGACAGGGAAGAAATTTCGGTTGTCTCCTCTGTTTTGTACCATCTCAAATTAACCTACTACCGATCCCAACAACCACAATAGTTATTTTATTAAGCTCAAATGAAATAACTAGGTACTCAGCAGCACAATATAAACAACAGCATTCAAAAGGCATGGACCGTTATGCATAAACAAGTAACTCAACCAGAATACCTAATAAAGTCTTAACCAGCTTGGAGCATATGTAGTTCAAATGGAAGCAAATATAACCTCGGATCAATTGGAGCTTCCTCCGAAAAATATTTTTCATTTACAGCTAAGAATGCAAGACGTCTAATAATATACATAGTACATGTAACTTTACATGAAACACCATTTATTATTCAGATAATGCTTAATAAAAAAAATACAAATTAAAACGCAAAAAGATCACGCTACTACGGTTCCCATCTAAAGTTTCTTTTTTCTTTTTGATGACCAAGAATGCGTATGCGGGCAACCCTTAGGACCAATTGTAGCCTTTGAAATCGGGGACAATGGGCCTGCCCCTCTACCTTTCTCTAGTTAAGTACCAGGCTTAGTTCGTACACAGCAGGGGTAACACGTGATCTAAGTGGCTAAGTCACAAGCCCTCAACCTTTACCACTTGAACTAAGCCCTGGGGCAGCCTCACCTAAAGTCATTTTTATCTATTCCTTCAATTTTGTAAAACCAATATTATGGTTCAGCCCCAGTTGATCAAATTTCACCACTATCAAACTTCTCAATCTTGATACCCAACTCAATTAGGGACTATAAACTCCATAAACTCAACCCCAATATAAATTTTCCATTTCACTATTCAAACTCATATAACACTAGATTATTTTGAGCTCCACATTTTAATTTTAAAATAACAATTAGGTGAAAGAGCTTAGTGCTTGGCGGCGTTAATGGCGGACTACTATCAAACAAATGGTGAGCATTAAAGGTGTCTACACTGTTTCACTAGTAGTACCTGATGATTTGGGGATATCACCAAACAGATGGTGAGCATTAAGGGTGTCCAAGCTATTCACTATAATTCCCAAAAGTATTTTGAACAAGAGATAAATAAGATTGCATTTGAAGTCTGAACACTACTGTTTGAATTGGAAAGTCGCTCAAATTTAATAGGAGAAAGTTTGTATATCCGAGACCTCCATTCTGAAACTCTGAAGATCAAACTTTACGCATGAATTGAAATAAGGATAACCTGTAAAGGGGGATCAACATAGAGTTTGTAAGTGAAGCAACATAGAGTTTCACAGTCGCTGCCAGCGGAGGCTGCGGTAGCGATGAAATGAAAGGTGGCTTCTCAGACACCAAGCCGTAGCGGGTCGTTTCTGTTTTCCTTTTTTTAGTGTTTTCGTTAGAAATTTTAACGTTCCATTATAGCTTGTTTGCATTGTTGTTACACGCGGTATAATATATATATATTGTTTGATAAATATAAAATTTGGATAAATTTTTATGTTCATGATTTCATGTGCCAAAAGTATAAAGAATTAATTGACATTATTATTAAGAAAAAATAGGATAATTATTATTAAAAAAAGTAGGATAAAATATAAAATATGATTCATTTAATAATAAGAATATGGTAAGATAAGTGTCACGACACAGAATTCTCACCTTCGGGACCGTGACGGCGCCTAACATTTTACTTGCTAGGCAATCCAACATTAGAAAAAATTATTAATTAATTTTTTTAACAAGTTTCAAATACGATGTAAAGGAAAGTTGAATAGTGTGAAATAAGATAAATAAACTAATAAGTGCCGAAAACCAAATACAAATTCCAGAACAGGCGTTGCGAATACATGATCGACTAAGATACTACAAACAATGGTTTGAAATAAGCATAACTGTCTGAATCAGGTAAGCAGCTAAAGGAAATACAAGGGGACTTCAGAGCTGCGAACGCCATGCAATTATACCTCAAGTCTCCTCGAGATAGCTGGATCCGAGCAAGTCTATGTAATGCCGCTAAGACCAACTCTGGTATTTGCACAAGAAGTGCAGAGTATAGTATGAATATAACCAACTCCATGTACTCTGTAAGTATCGAGCCTAACCTCGACGAGGTAGTAATGAGGTTAAAACGGGTCACCTACATTAACATATACGCAATAATAATAATAATAATAATAATAATAATAATAATAATAATAATAATAATAATAACGAAAAAGACAGCAATGAAAATAAAGCATGTAACTCATAACAAAGAAACTCCAAATCAACCAGCAGGAGTCTGTGCTCCTCCCCTAACTCATACTGGGGAGTCATTTGCTCCGGGTGTGAGTAGCGGGAGTCTGTGCTCATCCCCTAGCTCGAGAGACGGCTGGTGCCACCGGGAACATACCAGTTTGGGCCACACTCTCCATAAGGCCCACCAAATAGACTAGAGCGTCCTGAAGCACTGGAGTGGCTATGAACCCCTCCGGGACCTGAGCTGGTGCGACGGATACAGTCTGAGCTGGAACCTCATCATCAATATCTACCTGAGGCTCCAATGCGGGTGCTGCTGCTCGAGCTCTAGGCTGAGCTCTACCTCTGCCTCGGCCTCTAGCTCGGCCTCGGCCCCTGGTAGTAGGGGTGTTCATACAAACCCGAAAAAACGAACCGACCAAAAAAGTCGATACTTTTTGGTTTGGTTTGGTTTTGATTTTGAATTTAAAAAACCGATCAAATTTGGTTTGGTTTGGTTTTAATCAGAAAAAAATCGAACCAAACCGACTATAGGAGTAGCTATTTCAAATTTATTATTACACCTATAAATATGAATATTGTTATACAAAGTTTCAAAAAATTTATGGTAAATGTTAATGGTTTGCACATTTTAACATAGTTCTTTACCTTTACATTCTAGTTTGATTAGTAGTTTTCTTTTGTTTAGTGTAAGAATCCATTTCGTGTTAAAAATAACATATTTTTAATTGAGTCCTTAAATTATTCATCACTATTTGATTCAATTATCATCAATATATCTTAGTAAATAATAGACTTCTCAAAGGGCAATTGATTTGATAGTGTTACATTGAAAATGTGGTCGCCGGAATATGTGTTTGGTAGTGTATGTCTTATATTTAAGAAAAAACCGATAAATAACCGAAAAATCGATATAAACCAAATCGAGAAAAACCGACTTGATTGGTTTGGTTTGGTTCTAATATTTGAAAAATCGACTTACTTGGTTTGGTTGCTTTTAGAAAAAAATCGATCCAAATCGAACCATGAACACCCCTACCTGGTAGGAGCTACCAAAGAGTGCTCCGGCTCCTGTCCTGCCGCTAACGTTGTGCGTGTTCTCACCATTTGCAAGAGAACAAGCATAGAATGGTTCAATCATCAATGATAGGATAAAAATCGCACGATAGAGAAGGAAAGAAGTGAAAAAATTTCCTAAACTCTATAGCCTATGGAAGATAAGTAAAGATGTCTCTGTACCGATCCTCCAGACTCTACTAAGCTTGTTCATGATCGCGAGACCTAGGCAACCTAGTGCTCTGATACCAACTTGTCACGACCAGAAATTCTCACCTTCGGACAGTGAAGGCACCTAACATTTCATTTGCTAGGCAAGCCAACGTTGGATATAATTATTAACCAATTTTTTAACAAGTTTCAAATACGATGAAAATAAAGAAAAACTGAATAGTCTGAAACAAGATAAACAAACTAATAAGTGAAAACCAAATATAAATCTTGAAACTGGTGTCACGAATACATGAGCGGCTAAGATACTACAAATAATGGTTTGAAAAAAGCATAACTGTCTGAATCAGGTAAGCAGCTAAAGGAAATAGAAGGGGACTTCATAGTTGCGGCATGCAGCCATACCTCGATAGTCTCCTCTAGATAGCTGGATCCGAGCAAGTCTACGGAATGTTGTTGGGACCAATACCCGTATCTGTGAAGTGTAGAGTGTAGTATGGGTACAACCGACCTCAAATTCCAAGTTTCTACCATGGAAATTCTAGATTTGATGTTGAAATCTTATGAAATGTAATGGGTAATTGAAAAGAAGTAGACTAAATTCACTTACCAAAGAATTTAGGAAGAACGGGAAAATCGCCTCTAGGTGTTTAGGGTTGAGAGTTTGAAAGAAATGAGCTAAATCTCATTTTGTCCCTCTTTTACCCAGCTGCAATTATCGGAATTGCTATGATCGCAAAAGCGATCAACCTCTCGCAAATGCGAAGAAGTCCCTGAGCATGTTGTCATCGCAAATGCGAACCAAAGCAGTCTGCAAATGCGAACTATACTTCGCAAATGCGAAGAAGCACCAAGTAAATAGTGGTCGCAATTGCGACCAAATCCTTCGCAATTGCGAAGATGCAGAGCTCGCAAATGCGAAGCGTTTCTCGCTAATTCGAACTCTTCCCAACCCAGCTCATGCTCACAAATGCGACATAAAGCGAGGCTCACATTTGCGAGCCAGACCTCGCAAATGCAAGATCTGCAGTCCAGCACCAGAAACCAATTGCACCAGCTATTTCCTAAGTCCAAAACCACTCCGCAACCTATTCGAAACTCACCCGAACCCCTCGGGCTCCAAACCAAATATGCACACAAGTGTAATAACATCATACGAACTTGTTCACGCGACCAAAACAACAAAATAACACCTAAATCCACGAATCGGACACCAAAACAAATTAAACTTTTAAAGAAACTTAGGAACTTTTAATTTTACACATAGACGTCCGAATCACGTCAAATCAATTCCGTTTTGCACCAAACTTTGCAAAAAAGTCATAAATACTGAAATAAACCTACACCAAGTTCCGGAACCATAATCCAAACCTGGTAGCAACAAGTCAACCTACGGTCAAACATGGGAATTCGTTAAACCTTTAAATTTCCAGTTTTCAACAAATNAAGAATATATTAGTTTCCAAAGAAAGAAAGAAAAAAGTGAATAAATCTTTGTAAAACAAATATAATAAGGTTGGATTTAAATAGTGAACTTGAACTCTCATTTAAGATCTGAGAGAATGATTTCTTGAACTAGTAATGAGCTCATCGTTGTCATTCAACGCTGTCCAAAAAATCAATTTCCTTTAACCCGTTAACTCCAAACTTGAAACATTAGAAAAGTATCCATTAGTTCAAAACGTATTTTTTTTTAAAAATGACATCGTCTTGAATATATGAAACAGGAAAGCAAAATAAAGAAGACAACTTCTGTGTGCAGGAAATACTACGAGTTTAAGACCTTTTAAAATAACAAAATAAAAAACGAGTTATAAACAACAATGTAGAGAGCAAGAGAGAAGAGAATCTAATTTCTTCCTTATATTCAAGTGTGTACAATGTGATGCCCAAACCCTCTATTTATAGGATTATATAGGTAATACAAACGGACTCCATAAACATGGTATTAACTATTGAGAACATGGGGGAAGATCATGAAGGTGTGGGAGTTACATTCATAATGGTAAGAAGTAGTGGGGGTTATCTACATAATGAAAAAGAGTAGTGGGAGTTATATTTGATTAGTGGACATCCATATAAATATGTATTTCATAACAATATTCTGCTTTTTATGACACGATTAATTTTCCATCTATTAATTACAGTCAACCACTCACAAGGGGGTATGCTTAATTGTAGCATTTAACCTTCACAAATTTTTTATAAATCATAAAAAATTCTGGCTTTTAAAGGCCACTACTACTGCTCCATAGACACCCTCACTACAACATGGTTCAAGTGCATCAAGTTCATGTAGGTATTTATAAGGCAAAATACATAAAATGATATTAAATCTTGTAGTCAAATCCCTCTTACAGACCCGGTAATCACGGGAATATTATTACACGCCCAAACCTTTTAAAGTGTGTCTATTATCGGAATTGCTATGATAGCAAAAGCGATCAACCTCTCGCAAATGCGAAGAAGTCCCTGAGCATGTTGTCATCGCAAATGCGAACCAAAGCAGTCTGCAAATGCGAAGAAGCACCAAGTAAATAGTGGTCGCAATTGCGACCAAATCCTTCGCAATTGCGAAGATGCAGAGCTCGCAAATGCGAAGCGTTTCTCGCTAATTCGAACTCTTCCCAACCCAGCTCATGCTCACAAATGCGACATAAAGCGAGGCTCGCATTTGCGAGCCAGACCTCGCAAATGCAAGATCTGCAGTCCAGCACCAGAAACAGATTGCACCAGCTATTTCCTAAGTCCAAAACCACTCCGCAACCTATTCGAAACTCACCTGAACCCCTCGGGCTCCAAACCAAACATGCACACAAGTGTAATAACATCATACGAACTTGCTCACGCGACCAAAACAACAAAATAACACCTAAAACCACGAATCGGACACCAAAACAAATGAAACTTTTAAAGAAACTTAGGAACTTTTAATCTTACACATGGACGTCCGAATCACGTCAAATCAATTCCGTTTTGCACCAAACTTTGCAAAAAAGTCATAAGTACTGAAATAAACCTACACCAAGTTCCGGAACCATAATCCAAACCTGGTAGCAACAAGTCAACCTACGGTCAAACATGGAAATTCGTTAAACCTTTAAATTTCCAGTTTTCAACAAATTATGTTAAATGAAGTTAGGGACTTCTGAATTCGATTCCGGGCATACGCCCAAGTCCCAAATCACGATATGGACCTACCCGGACCGTCAAAATACTGATTCGAGTTCGTTTGCTCAAAACATTGACCGAAGTCAACTCAAGTGAGTTTTAAAGCACAATTTCATATTTTTATCAAGAAAAACCTTTCGAAAAAGATACAGACTGCGCACGAAAATTGAGGAAGGCTAAACTGAGCTAATCGAGATTTTGAAACAGAGAAATGAGGGCTAAAATTGAAAATGATTTATCGGGTCATCACAATAAAAGAAAAAAACCAAGGTAATGACGCCACCACATCAAATCTGCCGCTCCATAAAGTGGCACTTTTCGTTGTTACGTAATTGATGAATTTAACGATACAATACAATAAATTTTAAGTAAAAAATAAAATAAATATTGTATTTAAAATATAATACGATACTATATAATAAGTAACAACCATCCAAACAATTAGAGATTCAGAATCAAATCTATTCACTTTTGTTAAATATTAAAGGACTTTTAGTGTGCAAGAGAATCCTACCCCTATATATAATGGACCTAATTCATTAACATGGTGACTTCTATGTAGGGGTGTCAATGGTTCTGTTCGGCCGGTTATTTCATAAAATTTATGCCATACC